ATCTTTCTTCGCGACACGGTGGCGGCGATCTAGCAACGAAATGCGAATTGATCGCGTGCACTGTGCCACTTTTGTCCTACGTTGCCACTCGTAATTCCGCTTTACTCCTAGCTCGAACTCGCAACGGGCGAGGTGAAATTGCCTTTGAACAGGGTAGTCGATCCTACCGTCGATACGATAACCAGGAAATACGTGTTTCTCGAATGTTTATCGTCGTCGCGATGTCTCCGCGTCTACCGAATTGATCGGGAACCGATCGTTCTCTTCGTTTCGTTTCCCGATTGTATTTCAAATATACAGTCGTATTATACATATTCCCTTTTATTATACCGCATTTGGAATATCTATAGTGTACTCGTTGCGATATTCGTAAATCACGGCGATGCATAATGACATAAATCGAAGATAAACATTCGTTATGTCACTTTAGGAAGTTAAACGAATTCATAAAAGGTTAACGATGCCGGTTATCCCAGTTTTTGAATTTATGCAGCGTATACGTATTACTATTTGTCCGGCATGCAAATAAACGCGAAAATTTAAGCGTGCCGGTGCTTACCGTCCGACCGAATAAACTCGTCCATTAGATCCAATCGAATTAAATACTCCGGCGCGTTAAAGGTACTCACCGATTTCACTTGCCGAAAGTTATCGGCGACGTCACTTTCAGCCAGGGGAATAGAAATTTGCATAGAATGTTCTGTCTTGTTGATTCGGTAAGTCGAACCACGGGGCTGGACTAATCCTCGAGTGGCCCTCGACAAATTACATTCTCATCGAATTGGTCCTGCAAGTTTACTAACGTCGCTTTCAATTTCAACGACAGAAATTCGTCGGAATAACATTTGTTCGCGATGCAGTTATTGCACGCATAGGAAAATCAGGAGAAATATTTTATAAAAATATCATAATTGTTACAATAAAATTTCGTGCGTTTCCCTATCTTCGTTCTCTGTCCGTTCACGAAATCATTACGAAATAGGAAATCGTTAAACGATTCGATCGACGATCGTACCTCCGCGTTGCGTACAAAATCTCCAAGGGTCTCCCTCGTTCACTATCCTAGAGTCAATCTTCCGAGATTTCCCCCGGGACACTGCACCTTAAACACTCTCCGCTTTAAAATCCATTCCAACCGTATCACCCACTGTCCATCACCGAATCTTCTTCCATGTTCGTTTCTCTCCCTTCTCGTTCGGTCCGCCCTCCTAGTTCTCCGCTCCATCCTTCGTTTCCCAAGGCGAGTGTTCGTATAAACGCCCCTACTATCCATCCACCTTTCTTCCTCCCTTATATACGATGTAATCACCGTTGAGTCCCCGTTAGGCTGGTTCGTCGACAACTGTAACCCTTGCACGACTACTCGTCCCTGCGAAGCCCTTCGGTGCCCGACTTACGAGCTTCCATATCTCCTTAGTCGAAAACTGCTGGCTCGTAATCGCTTCCAAGTGCATGGCTAATAATTCTCCGGCAAACTTGTCGAAAGACGATTCGCAGAGGAGATGTACCATTTTTATTGGATTTCTACTCGGCGGTGTCTACCGTACGAAGTCGACACCCGCGTTCTTCCTACGAGTTAATAAAGAACGCGTTTTAAAACGGATTAAACGCAAACAACAACGCCGCACGATAAACGGATAAATTTGAGCTTCGAAAATCTCTCGGTAAAGTTTATGCATCCGCGCCAGAAGCACTCTCTCGTGGAATATCAAAATATTCCTGTTCCATAATCCCGTAACGGCCTGCGGGATGGGGGACTCGAATCGAGCAACATTAAGCGTCATTCACAGTCCTCGATGTCGTCCAATTTAAACACTCTCGCCTGTACGCGCAATATTTAAACAATACCGTCGCTATTTTCGATTAATCATCCCTGCACCGCAAAGTAAAAGGTAGTGGCCGTAATGAACGTTCGCGGGGTCCATTTTCTTCGAACGAAAGTTGGCAATTAAAAGGGAAGAAAGATTCTCTGGAACGAGGTTCCTCGTCGAGGAGGAAGGTAAACAGCGTTGGTTGCACAGGGTTTTCCATTCGACGATCCTTTTCACGGGGTTGCTTCGATGTTGGTCAAACGTCATCGAGTGACCTCGGGTTCGTTCCCTTTTAGACGCAGCATTCTATCGCCGACGGGCTCCTCTGCAGTTTACCGAGAACCTTGACGGTAATAATTAACGGGCTCATCATCGTGGCGCAAGGACACGCGAACGGATTTCGTGACGGATAGGAGGCCACGCTGGTGTGCTGTGTTGCACGCGCTGAAAGGGCTCCGGGTCGCGTTGACGCGGACGAACATTCGCGACGAGATCCGCGCTGACAATGCGCGCGACAAGCTGCGAGCGTCGAGTGACACGCGCTATCGCGATCTTCTCAAAGTGTCTGGACAACGCGTTGCCACGAGCATTAAGAAATTCTCTGCTACGTGAAAATGTGTTGAATTCTGTGCGCGTTCGCCAGTTTTACGTGCTCCTAACTGTTCAAGAGTTACAAGTTTTCGATTCGGTTTTCTGAGGGATACCTCGAAGAAGAAAGGTGTAGTGGATTTTTTGACGGGACTAAACGTTCGTCGAGATGGGGTTGAATGGTCGAGAAAGGTGGAGATCGTTTCGCCGTGGAAATTTGATGTTCGAGTCGAACGAACGAGGCGTAATTGGATCGATATTATGGAGGCAGCGTTATACACACACAAAGCACACACGCGCGTACAATTTCAATGTTGAATAGCAATCGGCACTCGTTGCGCGATACAAGAACACAAAAAGCACAGCCGAATTTTCACAATTGATCGAATCAGCTTTAGACCACCGCGTGGTTCGAAATCGAATCGAATCCAGTCGAGTCGAGTTCGGTCGAATCGAGTCGAGGCGAGTCGAGCAGCTGCGCGTGTTGCCGCTAGCTCGTCGATGAAATTACCCATGAACGCTCTCCGATTCTGCCTTTTTCGAGTGGACCTGTCCCGATGTCGAGGATATTTGCTCGCGTTTTGTGCCTTTAGCCTAAACGAGCGAATCCGCTTTCCCCTTTGCCCGACAATTGCGATAATAATAATGGTAATGCGAAACGGAACGGTGGTATAACGCATTTTCATCCACTGTATCTAATTTTACGCTTTGACCGTTACGTTCAAATTCGTTGAAAATGTATCCATGAAATAATTTTATCCTTAATGAATCTGATTTAGTCGGTACACGCTACGGCAACGATATTCGCGTTTAAAGCGGTATTAATCATTTTTTCCTTGGTAATCCGACTACGTTTTCGCATTAATTTTGCCAACTTCAAACGCGACAGATAATTCGAGAAACCACGGTAATTTTTTGTCATTGATTTCGTCACGCATGGTGGATAACAAGCAAAGTCACGTGGGAATCGTCGACACGAACCAATTAGTTCGTTTCGTTTCGTTTCGTTCGGTGAGGGGGTCGTCGAATAGGCAGATAAGTGGTTGCATCACGCGAAAAAATGCCCGACACCAGTAGGTGCCGTTCAATTCGTGCGGCATCGCGAATTTTTCAACGACCGCTTCCAATTGTTCCGCGAGACTGTATCACCGGGAAAAATATTCGTCGACGTAATCGTTGCGCGCTACCTATACGTAAAGAACACTTGGAAATATTTGAAATATTTCCATAACGTCGAGCCTTAAACCTCGACGGTGCCATAATTCAGGATGTTGCACGTAGGAACAGGCTAACGGGGATAGCCGTCAGCACCTTTCGACTGAGAGGGATCACGGGGTGATCGGGAGGAGGGTTGCACGGTGCTAATAGAAGACTCACGGAGGTGGGAAACGGTGGAGGGTAGGAATCGTTCGGGGAAGGGGGTTGAACAATGGCACATGTCGCCCCGCACAATTCCGCCCCGCCGAACCAGCCACGACACCACCTGTCATAACTCGTCTTCGTGTTCCACGGTTATTAGCGCTGAGCCGGTGGGATTGACCAATATCTCCTACCCCTGTAATCCCTTGCTCCTTTCATTCCCGACCGATCGTCACGGCGACGCACGCAACCGGATGAATCGAACGGGGGAGAAACGGTGATCGTGGCCAAATGAAATCTCCTAGATTTATAGGGCACGATATCTTGATCGCCTGCTGCGATTTTTCCGCGGATTTTCTCGCTCTTTACAAGGGTTCGACTTTGTTCGACGCGTTTCGCGATGAATCGAGTTACACGTAGCCGTCGAGGCATTATTGGAAACGCGAACGCGTGTTTCGAACCGATTCGAATGGTTAACGCGCCGACTGTCACGGTGAAAAGGGGTGCGCGTAGAATTATTGCCGACGAAACCATTGACTCCGACTACTTACAGAACACCAGTCCCCTCGATATTTTAGAAACGCGATCAAATTGTTTGCGATGGTAGGATGGTTTTCAGCTCGAGTTGAAATATGCGACAAACTTTATGCACGAAATTAATGATTTCAATTACCCAATTACAAACTGCGTTTCCAACGAGACGAGATATAATATCAAACCTCATACGTTCAGGCATTAGCTCTTTACCCTTTGATCTCCGAATTTTGTTACGGTTCGCGAGTTTAAATTATAATAATCGATGTTAACGAGCCAGCGACTAGATTAATCCCTGTAATTACGCAAAACGAGAGCAACGGTGCCGGGCAAATTTTCGTAATCCCGCTATAATCGTATATTAATTTCTTTCTAACGAGATGACGTCTCCATTATTATCTCTCCCCCCGAATGTCCCGGGCAACGCGAGCGTGTCCTCTTCCCGGCGGGCGAACCCGAATCGATCCTCGCATCTGAGCACGTATTTCGATTTAATCGATTCGATTCACGTCTCGCCTGCACGGAATTTCAACTACCCACCCCCGGAAGAAGAAGTCAAAGCCGTGCTCGATAATCACGATGCAAGCGCGTACGAGAGGGCAGAGCGTGTGAACGGTAGAGGGATCGCTCGGGTTGGCTGGAGAGAACGTTCGCGTTGAATTATTCCTTCGCCATGCCCGATCTTAACGAATCACATGGTTTTTTCAGGTGATGAGATCGACACGTTGTGGAGGTTAAGGTGGCAGTCGCTGAAGAAGTGGCGAAGGTGGTGAAAATCGGTGTCGGGAGCGGTCGATCCGGGCAGCGGTAGTGGTGGCGGAACGGCAGGGGTAATGTTTACTTGTTTATTTGTTGGCTTGTTTGTCGAACGCGCTGATTGCTTCGGTGGTCACCGTTGGCTCGTGCAAAGAATTTCATTCTATCGAATTGTCGCCCAAGATCGAAGAAAAGAGAGTTCGATCTTTTTTCACTTTACAAGTCGATCTCTTATATCCTTTATATCGAGACTTTACAATTCTCGATCGCAATACGACGCGTACAAATATGTAAATGTCGTAAGACATCCCTCCTACCTCGTTCAAGCATTTCGATTCAAGAAAACCCAACGCGGCGAATTTAGAACGAGGACACCGAAATCGTGCAACGAGCGATCGATCTATCGAACGTTCCGGTATCGGGCAAAATACTGGGGAGGCGGGATAATTTTCGTGTTCTCGTCGACGTTAGACAGCGCGAGCTCGACGGGGCTACAAGCGATCGAGGAACGAAGGAAACTAGCGAAGGAGGAAGCTCGTTCCATGTACGGTAGGCGTTCAAGTAGAGTAATCGAACTCTTATCAGACTTATTCGTGTCGGTGAAGTAATCGACTGGCGATAAGAATCACGGATAGAGAATTAAACCGTCGGTGGATCGATTAAGGCATTATCTCGCGGTGTTATGCCGCTTTCGTGACGATATCGTCGAATAAACGAGGGAGGAAAAAGCTGGTCGAGACATACGGTTATCGTGGCTTGTATTACGCGATCTGGGATTAAGTAGCTCGCTCGGTGCAAATTGAAAATACCGCGATCCGATAACCAAAGAGAGAGAAAGGGAAACAGATAGAAATGATTCCCTCACCCCCCGGTATTTATCGGTCGTACTGATTACGGACCGTGGAAAACGTATAATTATATATCGAACAGACGATTAGGGGGAACGGTATTTAATTTATCGTTTGTTTTAATTGAAATGCGAATAACGATTTCATCTTCTTTTTTTCTTCGTCGTTGTCGGTGAATTATTGCTCGTATCGGAGATCCTATCGAACGATTAGTGCTCCGTTCCAGTCTCGGGGGAACAAGAACGCGCGAAGTCTCCGAATATGTTGTCGCATATTAAATGACCGCTTTTGTATCGCACAGATATTCGCGCGATTCGTTCAATCAGCCTAAAATACAAGATCTTGCTTACTCGAAAGCAAAACTACTCCTATCAAGCCGGATGAAAAATCTATATTGCAACGTAGAATCGTAAAAGTACTTCTACTCTAGGACGAAGGTTCACCTCTGTTCTCCTGCATTATTTGCCCCGAATCCACTATCGAATTATTGGAGGTATCTAAGCTGGCTTACATGGTCGTTTATGATGTACAGGTACTATGGGAGCGGGGGTATGGGGGGCGGAGGAGGGCTACAAGCCACGGACCTCCGGCGAAGGCTCGAGTCCCGGTGTTCAGGAAGCACTTTTCCCCAGAGTGTTCGTTCCATAAGGCACGATGGCTGTTGCGCAGCCGAAAGAACCTCGTCTGGTCAGGAAGAAAGGTAATTTTGCGTCTTCTTCGGGATTCGAAAAGTTCCTACGTATAGATCGGTGGACAAAACTGTTCTTTCTTTCAGCAGGATCGACTCGCAAACGACACTCGCTTCCGGTCAACCGACGTGTACAAGTTCGCTGTCGTGTAGACGGCAGGAGAACGAGGATGAACAGACGGAGAATGAACAGAAGAACAGAAGTTCGAGGTGTTCGTCGAACAATGAAAACGGTGTAATCGACTCGTTGTACGGAAAACTACGGCTATCCGTTGCAAGATTCTTCGGGACGGCTGTCGAGGAGGACGAAGAGGGCAACGGGAAGAGGCATCGGCTTCGACGGTGTCGCAGGGACTTCCGGTGGATCGCGGACGTGGCGACGGGGACCTTGCTCCTCGGTATCGTGCTTTTCATCACGCCAGGTACGTCCGTTATTCTTCTCTCTTGTTCGATCGACGCGCACGATCGATTCGATATTATCGGATGAAAAGCTACAGATCGGCGATTCGATAGGAGATCGTCACGCGGATTGACTTTGACGTATATTCGGTAACAGAGACGACGACGCGTTGCTTCATAGGTGTGGGTCTCTTTACGCTCGATATCCGAGTACGCGTTTGTTTCATTACCGTTTACCGGTCTCCCGAGTTGTACATTAATTAGCGAAGCTCGCTAATCAGAACAAGTCTACCGGGTCACGGTAATAGCTTTCCATCGTCTCTCGAGCACGATCGACCGATCGATCTTGGATTCGGTGTGCCGTGTCGTGACTGGCTGGGATGCGCGTAGATCAGCAGAGGCGTAATGACGTCGATTGAGATCGAACGGAGAGTTTCCGTCAAGATACCTCTTGTAATTGGTAATACGTGTCTCTGCGCCATACTGTACAATTACGCGCGTACACTTCGCTCGTGCGTTTCGTCAACAACCGCACTGGATCCTGTTAGAGAGGCCCTAAAGCAATTGCTTTGTCGAGTTCCTTCCGAATACGACCCTTTATCTTCCCCCGATACAATTCTCGATCCTTCTGCCTCCTAAACATGGTCGTCGAGCTCTTCTATTTCTTTTACTTTTTCGACTCGTGTGCTCGTTTAGATATTAATTTCAAGAACCTCGTGCTAGAACTTTGTTCTTGACGATATAACGTAAGTCCAGTATGACGTATCTTCAACTTCTGGATACGTATATTTGTCTTTGACGTTATCCCGAGCTGTCAGTGGTAACTGTTTTCGACTCGCACCGACTCTCGTTTGTCACCCGAAGCGACGTGCTTCTCCAACAGCCAGAATATTTAAGAAACGTCTTCTCATTCTTGAAATAAACGTCCGCGAACGTCGCTACGAACGACCGAATTTGTTCCATCGTGAAATAATTGTACGCGAACTGTATTTTTTATTCCTCGTCTGCTGAATGGACGAGCGACAACGACAAAAAAAATACCGTCACCGAAACGTTTAACGTTCGGAAAATATTCAACAAATCGAATACAATGTTTACCTTCCGAGTTTTTATTTACGACTGTTATTACGCCGCATCAGGAAAAGCTGCAACGCAGTTAAACCAATTTACAGAAACGAGCTGAATAAAGTGACGTCAATACGTGCTCGCTTCAAAGGATGTTTCCCCTTTTTAATATACGGCCCTTACGTAGCTCGTCGTTAGTCTCATCAACGAGAACAATTTCATTAAAACTCGGCTTTTATACTTTCGAGGTGCTTGTTCAGCGCGTGCCTGCCGGTTCTTGCTAATGATCCGTGCATGGGACTGCAAAAAAAATCTATGCGAATCGAGGAAATTTATCATTGCATTTAACGTTTTTTCGTTTACGTTTTATTTCTCAAGAATACTTTCGTTCTGCCGTATAATTACGGAAACCGTATAAACCAGAATATTCAGAGATAAACTCGACAATATCTGGCTGTAGAGTATTTTACAAATATTTATTTTCATTATTCCATAGTTTGATATGTTCAATCGGAGATCGAGTTTTATGCGCTGCGAATAAAATGAATAAACGTAAATTTAATTAGCGTTTTTTGGTCAAAATAAATTTGCACAAAGATTTGACCCCATTTTTGAGTCCGTTTGATAAAACCGAGGTAACGCACCGTGACCGTTTAGTTTAAATAACTTGTACGGAAACAAAAAATTGCCGAGAGTCGCAAATAAACAGCAACTTAATTAGCGCTTTTTGACAATGCGGAATTTATACAAACGTAGATTTTCTCGACCCGATTTCCGAATTCGTTTTTATAACTGTTACTGTAATTTCAAATTATGATACTTATTTAGTTATTACATTATCCATCCTATTTCATAGCTCAATTAATTTCCAACTTCTCACGGTGAAACCAAGTAATTATTTCATTGCTTAAATACTTGGTTTCTAATAGCAATGCAAATTGACGCTTTTAGCATTCCTTAGAAGAACTTCCGTAAAACGAAATTTTCGTTGTAACTTTTGATCGAAATCGAGTCGGATACATAATTGCTCTTAAGCAGCGAATTTATCTTGTAAGCGAGTTCCGTGTAATTTTTCCGTTTACGTGGTCTCGTAGACAGAGGAGAATTATCGCGTAATTGAGAAAAAGGAACAGCGACGGAAGACGGGGAAACGGGAATCGGGAGGTAAAATTAGCAGAAAAGTTGTTTAATATAGAAAGTTGGATAAGTCGAGGAACGAGCGAAAGACGGCCATTGTGATCGCCACTTGCACGACACAGCAGCGAAAGACAATCACCGCCAACTTTTCCCCTTTAATACTCCTCATTTATTTATCCTCCAATTATTTAACGAACTAACTCCTCCTTCTCGTAAGTTCCGTAATAACCATTTGTATTAAAAAATTTTCTTCGAAGATGTCGAGAAAGCGCTAGCAGTACATTCGGTACATTCAGCAAACGCGGAAAAAATAAAAATGTCACTAAACCAGATAACTACAAATGTCACGCGGTTGGAGTACGCGAACTTATTACGTCACGTGCAAGATAACGCCGAGTGCGTTTCCGGTAACACCCAACGACGACAGTTTTTTTATTGTAACGCGAATCTGAACGAGATAGTATACGAGTTGACGCGACGCAACAGCGTTGTATATCTGCCTTAAGGTATCATAGCGAAATACATTTGGCCGCGATTAAATTCCTCTCCAGATTGCAGAGGGCTCGTCGTCGTGGAACGGCAAGCACACGGTCGCCATAAATTACGTATACACGAGGCATCCGCGCGTGTTGGCGGTGAACGATTATGGTTTCTTCCTCGTAGCTGGCTTCGAAGCAGCCCAGATGGCAAGCGATGAAACGAGTTGCAAATGACGTTGTCCCTTCCTGGAGGGTACGTTGCCCTTGCTCCAAAGCCCGTTCCACGCGGAGGTATACGAGCTCGTTTCGTTCGAGTCGATCGATCGAAACGAGTCAAAATACTTGTTTACCCGATTCGATGCTCCCTAAACTTCAAACGTTTATGGGAAATATCGGATGAACGCGTTTTCGTTTTATCCGATCGTGTTTCGCGCGCTGTGTTCTCGAACAGTCTATATTTACACGAGTAGTCTCCAATTACGCTAAATAATTAAAACCTGCACTCAGGGTGAAAGTTAGCCCGGATAGTAGAATGCTCGTTAGACCCGGGTTAATTGCTTCTCGCGCGTCATCTCGCGTGTACGCTTAGCCGAAGCTCCGTCGCGATACACGAGTTCACGAGCCGATCGAGTGGCTGCTTAATTTCACGGTTGGCCGCTGCCTGAAAATTTCACCGAGAAGACGAGGAGATCTTCTTGCGTCCTCGCCACCAGAGTCTGCGTTCCCGTGCACGTGGTCGAGCAATAATACCACCAACCTCTTGCGAGTATCTCGTTACGCCAGCCTTTTGTCTAGCGAATTTCATCGCGTGAACAGCCAGAGACAACGGAACATTTTATTTTTATCCGTTACCGTTTAAAACACACCGACGTGAACGCGACAAATTTTCTCTATAAATTTCCTTCGTCTTCACCCACGACTGATCGTCGGCCGTTTTCGGTGATTCTGATCGTGGACGCAGCAGAGCGACAGCGTTCTTTGTGCAACGAATGGAAACGATGGATACACGCGGACAGGTAACGCACGAGTAAAAGGAACACCAGAATCGAGGTAGTTTAGCGAAGAAGAGACGCTTCGTCGCGTTCCATACATACATGCACGCGCGTACATATGTATGGGTCCCTGCTGAATACTCGCACGCGCGATACGTACACCGACCACGCCAATCTGCCAATAATCCGAACAATAGACGGCTACAATGGAACGAAACCTCGAGTGGCGATCAAAGTCGCTCACTCGACGACCAAGACGACGACGACGACACGCGACGTCGCTTTCGAAACTGATCGTTCGACTCTGCTCTCTTTCTTGCCCCTTGTTTGCTCCGCTTATCTCCCGTTTTTCATCGTAATTTTCTTCTCGAGTTTTAGTTTCTAACGCATCAAACGATCCATGTCCGTTAGCTTTTTTCCTTCCTCGAAGAATCTCGAAAGAGAAACGAACAAGTGTCTGACATTTTTCGACGTCGTTTAAATAACAGCGTTTATTTCCATACAACGAGTAGAGTCGTTTAACTAACTCGAAAGTTTTCCAGTAAAATGCAATCGCGTTTTAACTATCGATTTATTTCAAAACCTGACAGAAAATTTACCCCTATTGTTGACCACGAAGCTGATGACTAGCGGTCCATTGTTCCTCGGACGAAGACAATTTCCACTGAGTTTTCAAGCTTACTCGAGCGTCTCTTTGGAAAGTCTCATTTAGTTTTTTTTTAGGTAGGCACCCGCATCGAACGCCCTCGGCGCTACTATCTTTGCCAGCTACTCCGTTTCTTGGATTTTTTCGATTTTTCGCTAGAAAACCAGTGGAGAGCGTTCGAGGTATAGCGAAAGGGTGTTTAAACGCGATTTTCGTTTCATCTCCTCTATTTTTGCTCATCTTCCATGACCAAATGGCTTCTGGGAATTCGGAAATTTATAACTTTGAAAATTTCCTGTAGTCACGTTTCTGACTCGACGCGAAAAGAGTCGATCCATATTTCAGAATAATCGCATGAATCGTGACGATACGCAACCATTAAATATTTTTTGCTGCGAAGCGCACGAATATTTAAAATGAACGTTTAAAAATGGCGAGATACCGATCTTTTCGAGAGAAATTGTATCTACCGGAGGATAGCGCAGCAATTATGTTAATTGTAGGATGCAGCTATCGTTTAGCGGGTCACGAACCTGTTTTTCGAGATAACGAGGTGTTCGCGGCGCTCCACCGCACAACCCGTGGTCAATTGAAAATTTAACGATGACTGACAATAAAAACAGCAGTTGCAGAGACCGAGCCACTCCCAACCAGGGCTCGGTAATCGCGGTAATGGGACACGAACGCGCGTTGGGCGTTTCTCTCTAGGAATTACATATTATGCGCGCTGCGTAACCCAACCTCGGTGTAAGAGGGTTGTTCCACCGACAGAAACGGGATGAACGTGCCACTGCTTTCGAACGACATCGATAATTTTACTGGCTCTCCGTTAGCGACCGTAACGGTACCGAGCTCGACCACTGTCTCTCGATATAATATGCTAATGGCATTTCGAAATGGCGACGGAACATTCGAACGCTGTACCTGCACGAAGAAACGCGTTGCGCGTTATTTTCGACTCGGATGATTAATAGGAGGGCGAAGTCTTTCTTCTCGGAAACGATGATTCCGTCGCGCGAATCGACCGACACCTCGATGAAAGAATTATTCCGAAAACCTTTGTCGCGGCTGGAAAGAGACGCGAAATGTGTGTTGTAGTCGTAGTCGGCGAGACTCAAAGGGAATAGGTATGAAAGTCAGATCCATTATTCGAATGGAATCCATCGCAGCTGCGATTTTTGTGGGGCTTCGCTGGATTTTCCATGAACATTCTCGTCCTTTGACCACAAACTTGCATCTACGGAATTCTATGTCATTTTCATGATGCTAGGTTTTCAAATTCTGGGCCATATCTTGCTGAAGATTCAAGCAAGAAAGAAGCATCAAAGAAAAATATTAACGAAGGTAGAGATTTTTTTATTAATCCTACTGTCATAAGAGACGTTTAGCGGTAGTATTTGTAACATCGTTGAAAGTTGGAATTTTCTGCTAAACGGATAAAATATTCGCATGTTAAAGAGTTAGACGACTATCGCCGACTAAATGCGGTGAAATTTTGCATTTATTAAATTTATTTTTTTCCCAAAAACATCGCGAGATCTCGTTTACCCGATTTTTTCGACTTCGACTCGCGTAATACCCCGAACGACTTTACGGGAAGGGTGGTAAAAATACGGAGGCGAAAGTTGCCTCGGTAAATCAGAAAGTTCGCCGACGCCTGTAACTCGGCAGAAAAGTTAAGGACGCTCAAAAGCCAGCGAGCGACTTTTGCAAAATATCCGTCGGCCCGTCATAGCGACGTGCAAAAGTTGGCAAGTTTTTTTCGCGGGTTACAACCCCGGGTCAGTTTCTTCGCGAGTACAGATGTATTCGGACAGAGGATATTGACTGAACGAAAGCAACGAAAGTGTCTTGTGTTCGTAAGTATATAGAAATTAAGGAATGTTCGTAACAGTTGGAATTGGTGTGTGTTTCAGGTTTCTGCCACCAGGACGCGGTGCACATTACGGCAATCCTGGGGGAGAGCGTTGTCTTCAACTGTCACGTAGAGTTCCCCGGTGAGCACCCAGTGCCCTACGTTCTCCAATGGGAGAAGAAGGTAGGCGACACGGTACGATATCGGACGACACTCTCTGCTCTCTATATCCGTGAGTTAAATACGTGGGCCCCGTTCTCGATAACCACGACTCGTGACCCATTTTCAGATAAATCGCTTACCCGGCGTTTTCGACCAAATTTTCGATTGCTCTCTTTCGTTCGATTCGTTCGACTCGTGCGCGAAAAACATTATTGCTTCTTCAGTTACGGAACATAGGAGAGAGTAATTTAAATAATAAATTAAATCGCGATCGCTCAATGGTATTTGAACACCGTTCATTTTTAATTGAATCGCTGCGACGAAGTCGCGGAACACTCCGCGCGTTTAATTAGATCGAGTCTTGTAATTTGCCAATTACCGTGCGTTGCTGCTCGAAAATTTTCCACCGAAAAAATTTCGGTCGACTCCGATTTATGCCCTCCGCGATATATTTTTCAAAACAAAAAGCGATCCGAATTCATAACTTTTTTCGATTCGACGAAACGTATAAAAAAATTTCAACTACATTCGCGAAATTACACCGGGGCGATGGAAAATTTCCAACGAACTAAACGGGATTAAAATAATGGAACGCGTATTTCATAAAGACGCTAGAGTAAATACTATCGAGCGAAAGCGTACATGCTTCGTGTTTGGGAATTGAACTCGCGTTTCCACGGTTTCTTTTTAATTTTCCCTGTTCGAACGTTGCGTAATCGGTAACTGGGGCGTGAAACCGGGCGACATCCGGGGGTGGTGGCGACAGAAAGAGTCCTCTCGTACGGATGAATGGTGTTCTCGTGTGAGCTACGCGATCGAATCTTCCCTCGGCACCCCCGCAGATCCATTGCTCTTTTTATCGTTTCCTGTGCCAGCGACAGATGCGGTCACCGGCCGTCCTGAGTGTCGATGTATCGCTTTACGAGCACCTCTCTCGCGACCAGTCTCAATTTCCCGAATCGTCGACCTCCAACGAACGTATCTAAAAGCTACTCTCGATCGCTCTTCAAAAATCTTTGTAGAGACCACCTCGTAATAATCTCGCTTGTCGCGTCGAGATGCCCTCGTATCGCTTTCGAGTTGAAAAACGACCCCGTTTAACGGCCTACGTGGACGCGATTCGTTTTCGAACGTATACAAACTGCTTCGTTATATTAACAATTCCGTTAAATATATTTACGGTAATTTTATTCCTGTAGAATGCACGTATATTGGTGCTGTAGAACCGCTCGTACATATGCATTACATATTTATACCGCGTTAACGATCAGCAGCCAAATTAAAAGTCAACAACCAGAAATTATAACTCCGTAAACAGTAATACCAGTTAATATGCATTACGCTCGAAGCGCAAGTATACCGAATAATATAGAACAAAATTGGATTGTTCAGCGGACTTGCCGTCACCTGACCGCGAACTGTCGATATCTTTACTATGATCGATAAATCCCGCTACAACTTCGAACCTTCGAAAGCGTCGAAAAGAAAGTGGAAGTTTGGAGATTGCTGTAAAGCAGCGTTTTCTGTCTTTCGATTTTCTAACGCTCAGGATCGTTGCCCCAAATCGTGTCCAGTGCCCGGGTAGCGTCAGTTGAGCGATCCCGATAAAGCGGTAACCTGCATATACCCTCTATACTTTTCTCTCGAAAGCGATAAGCGACGAAGGCGTCCAGGTGTGCGCGACCCGCATTTCTCATTGTACCTTTTTTGGAATCTACGGCGAGGATTTATGGTGGTCGACATAGAATCGAAACGGAGCGCGCTAGGCGATACTCGATACTTTTTCGGTGGAAAGGGAGGGTTTATGTGGGTTCGTTTATGCGGCGAAAGCGGTGAAAAATGCGATCAATACGGCGGCATACACTGATAACGGGTCACGAGAAGAGTAAAAAAAACAACAGAGTGTTGGAGGAGGTTGGAGCGGGGCCCCGTGAGCACATATTACGTTGTTCAAGCATTGCAATGATTGTCGATTAACGATACTTTGAATTGGCTTACTTTGTTTAATTTTTGTTGGATCATTTGTCCGCTTCTACGTGCTTACGTATATATTTTCATTCTCGTTTTGGTTGGAATCGGCGGCGAACGGGACACGCCTCTCGTTCCCAGCCCGGGTAGCTTACAGTAATTAATATTATCGTTATTACTATTCGTTGATTATTCGTACCCACGATATCATTTTGACGTACTTGTATCTAATCCGGACTGGAGAGGGCAGAGCACGTTTTCTATGTCGATCAACGAAGTCATCCGATCACACGTTCTCTCAGGCAGCGACGATTCATCGATTCGTCTCTCGAATCGTTTCTTTCATTCACGCTCGCATCACGCGCGATCATTATCTCGATATCTCGATCTTATCATTCGCGACGCAGCAACGATTCGTCCAAGTACGAGCGACGTTTTCTCTCTTTCGATCCTTTGCATCGCGTTTCTCTCGATCGAAATCGAGCGGGTCACGAAGCAAAGGGTTTCGTACTCGGTGTTTACTCGACTTCGATTCTTAGAAATTCTCTTCGATCGACGAGAACGACCAGTGGGTTTTAAACGCGACGATCGATCGTGCCAGACTCGGTTAATTTTTCATTAATCGAGTCTTCGCGATCATTATCGACGAACCGTCGCGTCGTTCTTTTTCCTCGAAGAGTTCGTTGCACCGTGTTGCGCGAGAAAGAAAGAAGCCGTTGCTCGTTTCACGTTCATTTTATTCGCGATCTTTCGAACCAACGACATCGAATTTTTTTCTTCTCTGCGCTGCTACGACGATCTATCAAATCTGTAAGAAACATTTCCGAATGTCTATCAAAATCTGCCTCTAAGAAACGTCTTCGCAAACGCGAAGGCTGACGATCGACGAACTTGATTTCATTTTCCTTTACTCTGCTCCAAGTATCAAGTTTCGAAGCACAGTGTAATCACGGTCAAATTATTACTGTGTTTCGCGTTCCTTTTATCGACACATGTTTAGAATTGGCTCGCAGTGTCTACACTCTGCGGAATCGTTTTATAAGCGGCATGAAGCTCGTCGATCGTCGGACAACAGGGGGTAGTGCACTTTTTCCCTTTTTCCCTGTCGGTGGCGGGAAATCAGGAAAACCGCGTCTCTGTCTCTCTAACCTCTGGTGCTTGTTTGCATGAAACTGGCGGATTCGCTCGCAGGGATCCACGACAGCGGCCATAACTCTTAGAAGAGGATCGCGAGAGAAATAAAGAAAGAGAATGGTTTTTAATCGAGGCAGGCAAGAGAAGGCCGATCCCAGCCAGCAATCCCGGCACTCGCACGCGAGCATGACCGTCGCGTATCTAACATGCCACAAGACGAATGGTCTCTCATATCGTCGGTGTAGCATTAAAAAATTATAGCTGTGCCTGCGATGCATTATCTTGTTGTCGTTATGAGGCAGTCGCACCCCTGCATGCCCCTCGTAGTTTCCGCGAGACTAATCTCCGTGTCACGTGCGAACGTATGGTCCGACGCTCGTTACCGTTTAATAGGACGCGTGTTCCGGGAAATACGGAAAAACCAACCGTCCCTGTAATAACTGTTAAAAATATATTACACCCTGGCTTGATTGTAACGTCAGAAGCATACTCTGACGCGTTGGCCCGGCAACTTTGTTTGCCGGACGCAGAGTCGTTACGTGCTTTTTAGAACTCCGACCTAAATATTGGGAAATGGATACGACATCGAAGTCGCAACAAGATTTTCGATAAGTACGAAACGAGATAAAATCGATCACGAAGGGAAGATCGCGCGTCTATCCCGTAACGGAGCAATTTGGAAAATTTGCCAACGACGAAAATTTTTGGGGCGTAAACGCGAAGCGAGTCCAGCGATGCCGGATTTCGAGACGATTACCGACCAACGGGAACGCATTAACCGTGAATTCAATATTGACTCGACAAACCTGCGTATCTATCGTCGTGTAATTAATTAATCGATCAATCGATTCCGCGGGACAATACGATGATTGCCGCAATGACAATCGTATCCGCTTCCGCGCGCGTTCGTCAGCCCTTTCTAACGATCGGCGGCTACGAGCGCGCTCGCGATCAACCGACTTCCTCTGCGAGCGCGCTTCCGTTCCCGGATCAAAGCTGTATAAATTGATTGCAAGTATCGTTGTTTGATTATCGTTAACGTGGCGCGCTTTGCTTTATCCTGCCACCGAGCCTTTTAACGTTCGAACGAGTTCCTGGATCGGGATTTGTTCTTCGATAAGAGAACGAAGACGCGTGTCGACTACTCACCGTAGTCGACTC